GTGGCACATTTAGGACTAGAGCGTGTTTTAACATTTTTGAAACTGAAACTTATCTGATTTCATCAACCTTAGTTAGCAACTCTGTGATCCTCCAGCTGACTTTTTTAAATGTTTCCATCAAACTAGTTTTGAACATATAAGGGTCCTAAATGTGTATGTGATGGCTACATACTATATAGTGTACAGCATATAATAGTACAATTAAACTTTATTTCCTCATTCATTCAAAAATCTCTTTCGATTTCCAGCTTCTGCTCCATCAGTTGACTCTGGCCGATCACTCTTAAACCAAACAGATTTCGCCACAAACAACAAAACTTTGCTGTCAAATTTAGAATAAAAAACAGTTTTCTCGTCTTATGTCAGTTGCCATCACATCAGGGCCCAAGATTCCTTTCACATCAGAAGTCCCGCTCCTCATCACATCATATTATTATCATATTATTTCTGTAGAAAACATGGCATCACTACCCCCCCCCCCCCCCCCCCCCCCCCCCCCCCTTCCCCTAAATATGACTTTGTCACGTTGGAGTTGAATCGCCAAGGACTCTCCACAATTCTAACTCTACTGTGCACCATGTAATCAATGTAAAAGTTCACTCTAAATGAAGTCTCTCCTGATCGAATTGCAGGCAGTTCATGCAAAACTTTTTCTTTCAGCTTTTTTTGTTTTTAAATAGAAGAAATATATACTGCAGCCAACATATTTACAGGAAGTATTTACTGGAACATTTCCAGAGCCTGACTAAAGCTTTTCATTCCCCCCCCCAGCAAACAGTACAGATGTACAATATTTCTGTACAGTTCTAATGAGCATCATTACTCCTGCATTGATACAGTGCCAAATGAGCTCATTGAATTTTTAAAAAGGCACAGTTATTTAAAGCAAGCGATTTCAATGTCAAATCTGCATCATAAATCTGCTTGAGACTCACATTACAGCAATTAAGCATATTTCCCAAGCCCATTAGCAATTAAATGGATAGTGTTGGGGTGCTGGTGTGCAGAGTTAAGAAGTTCTATAAACCTGAGGGGGGGAGGGTGACGTAGTGAATTGGTATATATATATATATATATATAATTGGTATACTCTGTATGAAGTGATGGGGTCACAAAGCAGACAGGCAGCTCAGCCTGAACAGATGGTGAGTGCATACAGCTTCACTAAAATACCTAAAACAACCTACTAAGATATTTACCACTGAATCGCTCTGCGAGTATAATGAGCCATCTTGTATTCCACTGCACAGTCCAGCTCTCATACGTCAAACCTCCGCCAACATATTCTCTCCTCGCCCACATGTGGGATATTCTCTGTTCACAACACATCCCGTCTTTATGTTTTCCTCCCAATCCCCATTTCTTTTGATTCTCTATAGGGGGGATCAGAAAGCGGGCCTTTGCTGAGGAATTTAATTCCTGAGTCAGTGCTGCAGAAGTGACTGCGTTCGATTAGAGGAAGCAAACTGTTCAACACTATCGCTGTAGTCCACTGAGCAAGAACTCTCGCCAACACAAACACAGGATAAGCCCTGCCTGTCCCGCTTTCTGGACATAATGCTGAAATTGTGTGATTGTTGCAGCAGCGAAAAATCTCTCAGGTGAAAAATACAACACAGTGGAGCTCTCCTGCAGCTCCCACTTATTTGGCAGATATGGGACTCGACATGTCACGTGCATCACCTCAGTACACGACAGCAGCAGAATTAAAAACACCAAGAAATAGAGAGAGATATTTCCAAATCAAGAAAAAACATTTACTTGGATATTTCATGATTTTGATGACAAAAGATTTTCTAAAACCATCTTTCAATTACTAAGCTACTAAACCACATTATACTTTATTATTCTTCAAATTCAGCGACTGGACTGAATTTTACAGCACACATTGTAACTTCAAACAAAGTGTTCTTTCGTCAGGGCTTTTGGAAAAGTTTTTGAACAGCTACTGTAATACACAGTGATAACAGGCCCAGAACTAGCAGGTGCGGTCATGTCTATCAGCAGGGATTCCTGAGGATATGTTATCTGGGTTTGTAAAAAAAACAAGAAATCCTGCTGCTGGATGCCATGGGAAGTAGATGCCAGAGAATTTTTTCTATATACATGTACTATCACCTCATATTTTACATAGCATACTTATTTTGCAAAATATAACCACATCTAACACTAATACAGGGTGCAAAGTGATCATTTCCACTGTGCTGCTGTGCTTCAGAACATTGAAAGTCTAAAATGAGACATTATTAACACCTTCGCACAACACATTGTCTGATTGCTAGATCCTCGCCTTATGACGTCAAGGCAGTGCAAGAAAGAAAAAAACGAAACGGGTTCACACTTTTACTGGTGACAAAAGGGAGAAAAACGCAGACGTAAAACTTCTGCCTGCCGCCGTCGACGCATAATTAAAGTGAGCAAACTTTGGGGGGGGTCAGGTGTGCCTCAGCCTGCCGCCGTCACCAGGTGTTAAATCAACAAGTTGTGTGGACTGCCGCCAGTCGGCATGTCCAGGTCAGTGTCTCTAAGAGCGTCCCACGGGGACGTGTGCAGGAAGCGTGTCAGCCTCCAACACGGATGTCATTCAGTGCTCACAGTTCACGAGGCAGAGCGATTTGCACAAGCGATTCCTAGATCTAAACAAGCCAACCGATGCAGAAATGCTGCGAGCAACCCGGCACAGTGTGATGGCCCGGGACGGCCGGGAGCCATTCAGCGCGGGAGGCTGACATGCAACATGCACGCGGTCCATTAGCACACACAAGATAACCTTTTCTGCCTTTTGCGCCTCCTCTTTGAAAGGGAATCAAGTTAACAAGGCTGCTTTTGAATGCCATGTTTGCCGCATCACAAGTCACTATATATGAAGCCACGCCTGCGCTGAAGCACAACTCTAACATATTACAATAAAAGGATCAGCAGGATGAGTGCAGCTGACCACTTTAAAGGCCTCCGCTGTGTGAGGTGAGGCAGAGAGGAAAGGGACCGCATCACTTCCACAGTCAGTGGAGTAAATATTTGTAAAGTAGTGTTGGTGGGTAAAGTCTACTTGGATGTGAGGCTACTTTATTTTTCCGCCACAACGTAACCTTTTTAAATTGAGATTTATCCAAAGCACATAAAAAATGGCGTCCGTCTTCTTAGCTAAGTTTTAATTGATTTCAAAGTGTTTTTCAGTGTCATATTCAGATTATCTGTCCATCGGCACCTCCCCCCATCTCTGTGGGGATGCTCAAGAGGTGACAGTATTTGTCAAAATCCCCAGAGCAATGCTGAGGTGCCGTGACAAACAGTATTTGGAAAGGAAGAGCAACATTTCATTCAAGTGTCAGTCATGAGATGAAAAGGCAAAGTCCTTATTTATCTTTGAAAAGAATGTGTTGCTCCAATTCAAATTATATTGAAAGAATTCAGAAAAAACAAACAATGTATGGCATAGGAGGGAGTTGGATGTGGATAACTGGACATTTAGGAAATGTCCAGATGATTCCAAAAACTACGCAATACTAAGTACAATTTTTTTCTTTCATTTGTCGACATTATGTTCTTTTGTTTGAGTTTACTTTAAGGACGAGTACTCTGCTATAATACTGAGCTGGACATGCACATTAAAAGATGTTCACCCACTGACTCTGTTGTGGTTTAAAGCAGCTGCGACTCAGCCTTCTACATCTACTGCCTGAATTCATTAACCCTGGAGAATCAGGACCAAAAAAAAAAAAATCCATTAGCATGAAAAGTGTGTCCGTATTTGAAGTTAAACCATGAAACACATTATTGAAGGTCATCAAATCTGCTCAGTTTACTTCTAAAGCGTGCTTCACAGAAGCCAGAGGAAGATCACAGAAGCTATGATAGCCATAAATCTGGAATAACTTGAGCAAGCAGAAATTGAAATTTCATACCAACTAAAACCACTTTCCCACTCAACAAAAAACCCACTAACACACACTAACATCTGGATTTCTGCCTTCAGTGGAAAATTACAATGGCTCTGCAGTAGTCACGGCTTTTTATCGGCTCCAGCTCCGATCGGCAGCGATGGAAACATGACACCAGAGTGGAAACGCTTATTTTCTCCCCCTTTTTCTGGTGAGATATATAGAATAAATTAAATCAACAGGGATTTGGACAATTATTATAATTAAATTAATGTACAAAGAACCAGACTCCAATCAGACAACAGTCATTTTACCTCACTGATCATTGAACTTCATTCAAACTCTGCAGAAAGCAGGAAAAGAAACAGAAAAGCAATGAACAAGGAGTCTGTTGCTTGTTTTTTGCAGGTTTTCCCAATGTTAAAAAAAACAACCTGCGTACCTGCTTCCTTCAGAAGCTGCCTCCAAGCAGAACTCTGGAAATTGCCATCTACAGCAAAGCTGTTTTCATATCTCATTAATGGGTTTTTTAAACTAATGTATATGAATATGAGAATATTAATTGATAACTATATCAAGATTGTCTAAAGCAGTTACTATCACTGCAATAAGCTTGACTTCCTTATCTTCCATCTTATCAAGTTATCTCTTAACAGTTGACTGATTTCTAACTGTTGCAGGTAACACAATGATATTGAATCATGTTTATGTTGTTTCTAGCCTTTCACATGAAACAATAAAGGCTTTGTGATGTCTGACAAGAACACTGGGTACTAATGAAGCTCCAAAGGCAGATCATTTTGTGCTTTTATGTGTTTCAACACCGAAGAAACCTCACATTATGCTCGAGACAAGTGTGAATCCCACAGCAGCTTAGTGTTGCTCGACTGGTGGGGAAAGTATATTTTAGCTACAGCTAAGCCTGTGATCATCAGGACTATTTAAAGCAACAGCACGCCAACTGTGGAGGGTGAACAACAACCCAAGGAGCAGTTCAGCAGATGTTAGCTGTCATATTATAGTCATGCTTTTGAACATGAAGCTGCAAGGAACCGCTCCTGCTGAACAATGTAATGCATTCAACACAAAGTAAACCACATCTCTCTTCCTCCCCTGTAGATCCCTCAGGTGAGCTACGCCTCCACGGCCCCAGAACTGAGTGATAACACCCGCTACGACTTCTTCTCCCGGGTGGTGCCTCCAGACACCTACCAGGCCCAGGCCATGGTGGACATCGTCAAAGCCATGCGCTGGAACTACGTCTCCACGGTAGCCTCCGAGGGAAACTACGGAGAAAGTGGTGTTGATGCGTTTATTCAGAAGTCCCGAGAGGACGGTGAGTCTTCTCTTCAAATATTCCTTCAAGCGTCCCAGAGTTTGTTCAGACTGATGTGAGAGGGGGTTCCCGCTGTGCATTTCCTTTTGAGAACCATCGAGAGGGGTTCCCTGTGATTGGACACCTTTAAACATCCGCCAGTAGGCAAACTCTCGTTGTAAACAAATCGATTCATTTGAGAAATCAAACTGTTTAGGTTGGTGCTACATTGGATTTGATGCGATGTTGTTATAGAGAGAAGCGTGGCTTGTCTGTTGCTGAAGGGTCCTGTGCTTATATGTCAGAATTTAAACCATTACTTAGATGTGATGAACTGAATATGAAGAAGTAGCTTATAGGGCTGCAAAACTAATCGAATATTAACCAGAACACGTTTTTGGATACCCACATTTAAATGACCACGATCGAGTAATGTACTGTAGGCCAGGCGGGCAAAAAAACGAAAATGCTCTGAATTGAGGGAAAGAAGTACCTTATTTTAAATCCTATTGTTGATGCAAAGCTTTGTTAATTAGCAGACATGTGGCACAGTGTGAAAGTTAAAAGCAGTGTTCTGCTGGTTTGAGTAAAAAGTTGAGGTACAGTTTTACTTCTATGCACTGCGCATCAGGACCAGTCTTATTTTCGATGCCAAGCTTTGTTAATTAGCAGAAATGTAGCACAATGTGAAAGTGAAAGCAGAGCTCTGCTGGTTTAATTTTGATTTATGCTGAAGTCTTAATTCTTTCTATGAAATAGCTCCAGACTTCAGGGAGACATTTGTATCTGCCACACAAGAGCATTGAGGCGATGCTACGTATTGGGACGCATTGACGGTGTGAAAGTGAGGCTCCAGCGCTAAAGCCCGGAGCAACACAAGGAGAGGGCATTGTACAGTGTTGGCAATACAGTCCGTTTGGCACAGGGAGCTGCCGGCGCACGCTCAGTCTGACCCCTGACCCTTTCTGAAGCACAGAGTAATCACTACCGACATGTCCAGTACTCTCTGTGCCACTGCGTCCCTTTCTTTCCTGCCAGCTCTACGCTGCAGCTCATCATCGGGCGTCGTGGAGAAGCACCAGCAGCAGATTACTCGTGGAGAGAGAGATAGAGAGAGACCTCCAGTTTGTCCAGCTCAGTTGCCTATTTGCCTAACAGCCCATACAAAAGGGACTCAAAGCCCAACCTGACAGTTTCAATATGGTTTGAGCTGCTTCTCTTTAAAAAAAAAAAAACGACAAAAAAACCTGTTTTTCCTCTACCTTTAAAGATACTGGTGTTTAATGCTATATTAAGGCCTAACCTTGCATATGATTTTAACTATTTTGAAATATCAATTCCCATATCCTCATAAAAAGGACAGACGTAAAGAGGATAAAACCTTTGGGTTTAATCAACAGGCGAAACAGTCATGTAGAGGATTACATGGGTGGGTGGAAAGTGTGATTCCCTCAATTTTTTGAGATTTTACAATCTTTTAAAATCTTTGCTTTGTTGGAATAAAATGCCGTTTTATAGAGATGTAGGTGTCTGTGAAAGGTACGGTAGAAATAAAATATCAAATAATTGAGTTGGTGGCACTAGATGAAAACCATAAGCCAGTGTAAACAATCTAGATTCAAACGAATCAAAATAAGACTTGAATGAGATAGGAAAGGTATTTAAAAACACTGTTATGCTATAAAGGTTGTAAGTATACAATGTGTTTAAGGGATAAACACTTTTTTCTGAGAATGAAACTCAGAAGGATAACCTGCTACACATACGTAGATGTCTCTGGAGTCGTTGTTTTCTCTACTCTTAATGACTCACTCTGAGCGCAGGTGTAGAATCCCTAAAGGTGCCTTCTGTAGTCACTCAGCACATCTTTCATTAAATCAAGCCCTAACCGAGTCATGAATGCTTAAAGCACTGAAAACATCTCCTTATTCCACCGCTTCTGTCTCCAGCCACAGAGAGATCTGATACTTTGTAAGTTAGTTAACTTAATTAGAAACGTTTTTGTAAGCATCCAAGGGGAAACATGCTCGTTGCATCATGTCGGTTATGTATTTTTAACATGGTGGTTTGTTTGGTATGTTGGGATTAAATCAGTGATTTGGGGGCCTTATTACTCTGCAAATTGATTCATATATTCATTTAGAAAGTATCCTCAAAAGCGGAGCAATTTTCACCAAATACAGGCACTGTATACAGCAATTGTTCATTAACTTAGATGTTTCAGACTAAATTCGACGTAGTTTTGTCATTGTCTAATGACTTGACGTCGTCTTTCCCTGTCTCACTTATAATCTAACTATTTAGGCTATCAATGAGAAAATTGCAGCAAAAAACATCTGTGCATGTGCAACCATTGGAACCGCTTTGATTAAAGTATGATTAAATAGAGGTAACTAGCAGTGGGGCAGTATAATATACTGTATAATACAATTTAGTTTATATTACAAAAAAAGCAAACAAACACAGGAAACGTAAGAGCGACGAAGAGCTTTAGAGCTGATGGTCTTCGGTCGTCCAGAGCAAGAGGTCGATGTCTGCATTGAATCATTTTTTCCCCCGTTATTCACACGTGATCGCCTGGTTGCACACGCACCACCGCTCCACCAGATCATCGGCTGTTTTGCCCGACTCGCTTTGCCATGGGGCCTCTCGGTGTGATCGCTCCCCCCTTACAATGATAAACCAGGATTTAGACAAATATCTGTTGAGTCTTCCGGCCTACAGCTCCTTTAAATCTGTCAACTGGAGTGATTGTTTCAAAAACATCTACACACGTCTGTTCCCTACATGCTGAAGTATACCGTTTGATTCCCAGGTCCTCTCCTCCTCATTCAGACTTTGATTGATTATAGGACAGAGACACTGACGACAGGCAGGCAGCTCCGTCAAAACCAAAGCCACAGGTATTTGGCTGCTAAATGGGTTCTGCAGTTGTCTGCTCACATAATAAAACAGCCAGATCAGAACTGGCCAAATGTTCCATCTCATTAAGCAGCCAAAGGCCGTGCTGAGCAGCAGTCTCGTCCTCCTAATGTCACACTGGTCCTGTTTTCACTGTGTGGAAGATAGATCTTAGCTTTGAATGGCTGATTTGGGTATGTTGAAGTTAGATTAGAACCACGTAGATTATTTTTCTTTATTATTTATTTCATTAAAACAATTAAAAAACGATTATCAACATATTGGAAACTGTATAGAACTAGAAACGCCAAGCTGTTTCCAGAAGTAGGATCAAAACAGTTTTATCTTCTTAAAAACAGATTCAGAAAACAATAACTGCAGTATTGTTACAATAGATATTTCCTTGGACAGAATTTCAGCACCACTTGAAGGACTTTATCTTTGAGATAAAGATATTTGTTTTCGAAGCCGTTCCAGCCGAGATACTTTATCCCTGTAGAGAAGCAGATGTGTTGACCCACAGACCAAATGCCTGGGAGGTCCTAACATCAACACACTGCAGCTGGTGTTTCTGTGCTAAGGTTCAGTTATATTTCCAGCACAATCCGAAGCTCAAGCTCATGAATGAATATGATAGTTTTTATATTTTTTTTTAATTTGGCCTTTTCTTCACAGCGTCCTGCAGTTTAATGTTTCTGTTTAAGGCTAGCTGGGGGACAAATGTAAAAATGTCTCCCGTAATGTAATCAAAACATCCAAAGTATTCCAGCAATTCAAACAATCCATTTAGTTTTACTGTCTTTCCATTTGCTTCCTCAAAAGGGAATAGAATGAAATGCAGAGTCTCTGACATTCCACAGACCAACTTATAGGATGAATGTTTTTAATATCATATTTTTGGTCAGTTAAAGGATATATTAGCGTGTGTGGTGCGGTGTTTTGACGAGTTGTGTTGGATGTTGGATGACAGAAGGTCTCGCTGGTGAGAGAATCTGATATCATTTGATCCTAGCTCACTGGGCTTTCAAGTGGAGAAAGAATTAAACTGGAAACAGTCTTTGGTCAGACTGGCTGGACTCGGTATCGGTACCGCGGAGCAGAAACAGTTTGACATGACGGAAGTCGATATCTTAGAGGAGGCGCTGAAAAGAGTGAGAATAACAATCAAGACAATTGATGGGGACTGGCATGTTTCTTTCTAAGTGGTCTCATCTTTTGTACATTTAGTCTTAAACAAATCTTTTATAAATTATGAATGGCAGTTTTGTTTCCTCTAAATACAGTATACTTGTAGCATCCACTGTGAACAATGTGTAACCATGAATGTTTAAACTCAAAATGAAGCCAATGTGTTCTGATAATCCAGATGGCGTTTATTACAAAATGTGAGAGATATGTACGGGCTCTTGAATTTAATTGTAACAGTTGGTGACAAATCAGATATAACAATGCAGTGATGGATTAGCGTCAACATATGTCATTAACATCATCATCCAAATTGTTTTTGTTTCTTTCTGAATGCTGCCAATTTGACTTTTTGGGGATTTTGCTGAACTCAACATTTGTCTTGAATAAGAAATAATCTTATTTTCTGTGATTTAAAAAAAAAAGCATGATTCCTGTGGATATTTTGTCTGCAGGAAGTGCCATGTTTGGTACTGTGGGAGATGTGCAATCTGCTATGAGGAGAAGACTTTTACTTTTGTGTTTTACCATGTTAACTGCCTTCAAAAGGGGGGGGGGGGGGGGGGGGGGATTTTAGCAAGCTACTGCTCCTTGTCTCTTGTTTTATAGGAATTTTGTGAATGTCTCTGGACTTTTTTTGTTTGAGAAGTAACAGATCCGATGATCTCGTACTGAGAATTCAGCCATAGTGATACAATACATGTATCTTTTTAAAAAACAGCTCTGCTGTCAGCTCTTTCAGTGACAAGAAAGGTGCACTAGAGTGCAGACTGCCTCCAGGTGTGTCTTCAACGACCACTGATGTATTGTGGGAATAAATGAATACAAGTCACAAATGGCTAACACCCTGTCTAAAGTGCAAATCAGATGTGCATTTCTCTTGCATGTTGCACACAACAGAAGGTAGTGTGTGTACTCGTAGTGCTGTTAGCTGT